CATGTGGAGCAGAAGCCATATCGAAAATAACAACGGTAAAAGAGTTTATGAGCAACCATGTAATAGTTGTTGTTGCGTTCGGTAAAACCATTTATGAGTTCGTTGCGTTCCTTAAGCCATGTGGAGTATCGTCTAAAGTTATTGTCATCGTTATCGTACTTGTGTGTTGGAAGTGAGTATATCCTAGCAAACTCACTCACAAGCGTTGGTGTGCATTCTTCGCTACTTCCAAGTAATACCAGCGTTATTGCACGATAAGGTTTCTGAATAGCGTAGTAGACGTTGTCAATTTGAGCAGGCGTTACGTTGGTGATTTCTTCGTAAGGTATCCAGTCAAGTTTATTGCGTTTATTCACGTAACAGGATTGGATCAAGTTGCCAATGGCTGGATTATTAAGAGTCTCTGATCCTAACGACATGGTAACAGTTTGAATTAGAAAGTTTTCAAGTTGAAACAAATATTCGTGCTTTAATACTTGTGTTACATCGCACATATGCAGCTGACCAAAGTCACGAGACTGCTCTAGTGAAACACCTCTTGTCAAACACTGTGTAAGTAATAATAATTTTTATATGGTTTTGAAAATAATTGATTGTACTTTTGAAAAAAAAAATAGCAACATAATAACGAGTATTGGGTTAGAACATGAAAGCATTAATTATCATTTATTACACTTTAACTTTATATAATAATGTGTTTTAAATTTTACTCGAACAGCCCAGTCAATTACCGTAAACTCTCATGAATAAGGGCCCCCCTTCATCTTATTCATGGATGGGTTGGTTGTAGATCATTTTGCATTGTTTTTAAGCCACCCATCGTCACGTAGCAGTTGCCCGCGTTATTTTCGTTTATTACATAATCACGAGCTGCATATATCATATATGGGGATAGTTATCAACGTTGGGGCGATCAAAATGATCATAAGATGATCAGCCAAATGAAAATAAGGTCAGAGAATGAATAAGTTAGTTTCTTTTGTAAGCTATGTTCATCTTTTCTTACGTGATATAATAACTGGGGGGCTCTTATTCATGAGAGTTTACGGTAGTTTCAAAAACTATTACCAGTTACATAGTATTTACAGACTTTCGAAAAAACGTTTTTTTCATATGTTTTACTAGCAAATTTTAGAACAGTCTCGTAACTTTGTCAAGAGAGTGTACATCAGCGGTACCCAATGCCTGAAAACCCTGCTGGTTCGAAATATATATAGACTTTGAACATGGATGTAAAGCTAATGAAAATATGAATGAACAATTAAACGGCTGCGACCATAAGACCCTTTCCAATAGCTAATATTACGTTGCCTGACATGTACCAGTTGGGGAACTGATAAAAAAGATTATAATGTGCTTTCAAATGCCAGATTCTGATAATTGAAGGACTTTTTAATTATGTTGAATGAGAAAAAAATGTGCTTCAACACACGTGGATCATAAATGCAAACTTTCAATAACGTAGTGTTGAATATTTTTCGCAACAACTTTTACTAAGCCTTTATTTGTACATATTGTCAGGCTGTAGCATAACGAGACGTTGATATTAGATTTACCGTTTGTGAATAAAATGCACATTTAGAGTCCTTGTTCAGAATCTGAAATTAAGTTCTTTGATACTTAAGAACGAGTAATAGTTCTCGGAGATAAACAATGCAAATTTTATTCCTATTCATAAAGAAACTGGTAAACACTACAGTAAGTCTGGAAAAAATATATATAATTACCAGCATATAAAAACAATGAATAAAATTGGTTTTAGTAAATACAAAAAAGCGATGCGTTTTTTTCAACGTGGTTGCTCAAAAAAGATTCCAAGAGAAGCGTTTGCTTTTGAACATGTTATTCGATGGAATTAAGCAATTGTAACGGTAGGAAGATTACTTATGATAATGCGAGTGGACAGAGTAAAAAAAACGCCATCATTTATTTTATTTAGCATCAGTAATTTGCGGCCATAATATGACAGTAGATTGTGCAAATTATATTGTTGAGGTTGTGAAAAGATCGAGTACAGTAGGATAAAATAAAATAAAAGGCGTTCAATACTTAAATCTTAATTCAGTATTGAAATTTTCTTTAATATTATGTTAGCGAATAGTATGACAAACCGTGTTGCAAAGCGAATTAAGCTGGAGGGGGAAAAATAAATTATTGAAATTTTGTACATAGTTAGTAACCGTTTTTGGTACATATATACGAAAGTTAAGTCTCAAAATAAAAATTTCGTTTGTGAGATTAAATTCCGGATATTTATGACCACTGTATAATAATAAGTACAACAATCAATTTATTTAAAGACAAAGAGCTGTTCAAAAGGACAATTACATTAAAATATCAAAATGAGGGACAATTTGCACTTCTTAACGTTCAATAGCCGTTGCACTAGCGGCTCCATGTATTGATTACACAGTGAAAGCCAATGTATCAGATTCCACGGGACAGGCCATAAAATTTGTTATATTGTGACAATCCGTTTTATCGAAAATCTGATACAGCAAACTCAAGATATGTTCGACATAACGGTTTATTTATATCTATGGGTCTAGTTCATTTCCCCGACAATTACTTCCCCAACACCTCATTTCCCTGACAGGTCATTTCCTCGACAATTATTCCCAATAAATATTTCGGCACTAAGATAATTTTAGCAGGAATTGTCGAAATAATTGTCAGGGAAGTAATTGCCGGGATAAACGACTCTCAATATGTATAAGTTTTGTCCATGTAAAAGTATATTTAGTTTTTCCAATAAGTATTGCGTCTGACAATTTAATTCGTCGTGAGACAATGTGTTCTTTTTATGTTCTTCTAAATTTGACTACTGAGATTTTGCTTTCAATATATGGCCATTGACTCTATTCTTAAGAATGTCTAAAACTTGCTGGGTAAAATACCGTATTTTTACTAGAGCTTTCTGCTGAACAGGCACGTTGCTTTTGTAAAGCCGTTAAGGAAATTACTGTCCTTTTGCCTCATATACATAATATTGTTAATGTTATTAAAAAAATATATTTGACAACTTTAGCGCGAATCTATTACAAGTTATAAAGAATTCGGTCACTTCAGTGCGAATTTACTATAAACTGAAAGCGAACTCACGTTATAATTTCGTTATATTGAACAAAATCTGGAACTGTACTACAACAATGCATGGTTTAACTTATTACTTATAGCTTTATAGCTTATAGCAATTATTTTCTATACCAGCCGTTTTATCTTGTAAAGATTAATTGTTTATATCTTACGCGCTAGCTATTTGGAAACATAAACGCATGATACGCAATTCGAGATGAAAGCCCACCTTCCACATCGTCCCATTGATCAATCGTATTTACTCAACAAATTGTTGATGCGGATAGTAATAGTAAATCTATCAATTTATCAACAAAAAACATCAATATAACAACACAAATAAACGCTCGAAATTTTATTAAAGAAGGAAGCGCCATACATCTCTTCTGGCAGAATATATAAAACTCCATCCGAATCCCAAAAGTATCCTTAGCACAACAGATTTTTCTCAGTTTAATCGTCTGTGAAGCATCATGTCTTTAGGAGTATTGATCAATCATTATCACTAAACCTGTCTTCGCACTGACAATATAATCTGCAATTTCAAACCCTCTCAGTCATATACAAAAGAAAAACTTTATACCAGTTAACCAAATACCGCTGTGACAATGAACGCATTAATATTATAAACTGTACAATCTTTTGTTAAAAAAGAGAAAGTACGTAAACCCCTATTTAAAGCTGTAACATGGTTTCTGTACGCTATATGGATTTACGGATGAGATAATTAAGATATTGTTACTAGTGTAGCTTGCGCAGCAAGTCCCTTACAAATCTGGTTTATCATTACGAACCAACACTTGTGGTTTTTTAACGAAATTACCAGCACTTGGACTCAAATATCTTTCAAAAATTACGCAGCATGCATATTACACAGTGAACCTGTTTTTTTAATGTTCTGAATTTTTGTCTAGTAAATTTTCCTGAATATAGCGAAAACGAAGGAAAAGGCGGATTCGTTATTAAAAGTCCGTAATATGTTATCGATATCACGCTATGGTAAAATAGGTAATTGTTGGAAGCACAGCCACGACCATTCATTTATCAGCGCGATAAAGCCCGACACTTTTAAACACGATGATTAATAATAAACGTGGGTCTTTACCTAAAATCACTATCTTTCTTTCGCCTCACGCCTCTCAACATGTCGCAATCACTCCAGCTTCTCAGCGGATGCAACGAAACTGCGTTACAAAAGCCTTCCCAAAACATCATCAGCTACTTAGTGTCTTAGCCACCCCAGTAACTTTTATTTCATAGCTAAACATTCACTTCGTCTGGTTTTGCTGCAGCATAGCCCCATATAACTGATATACTCCTAACATTTTAAGTTGGCTATGTACATGCTCAATGTTTTTTTTTAGCTGAGTTGTATCCGCAGCTGTATTTCTTTGTCTTTGTCATTTTGTTCTTATATACTACTGAGGGCTACTGAGATGTCTTGCTTCTTTTTCCTCTCTTCCCTTTACCAGCCGCGTATTTGTATTTTCTTTTCTCGACTTTTTTGTTAAAAAGTTAAGTTGTTAATGCTGGCCCTTGGTCACTTCGAGTCAACGTCACGTGAGAGCGGATGATTTAGCTACGTGCGTGCTCACCTCGTAATTAGACGTTGACAAAACGGTTGTGACTTTTACAATAGGCTTTTCGCACTTACGAGTGTCGTGTACTCTAACAATTAATGAGACATATAACGTGTTGGTAAAAGAATAATTAACTGTCATATCTGCCACTCAGCTAACCGCGAGACAAGAACACGATTAGCCTTATTCGCTATACAGACTAGTAATTTACAATATATTGATATACCGAATATTCAAAGGGATAGATTATGAAAGGTATAAATTTAGAGTAAATGAATACTCGTTTATTGAAAGTACAAATAATAAAGTAATGAATGTCTTTTGATATACAGAACACACTCAAATCTACGCTGCAGAATGTCCATCAAAGTTACGCGCGTCATCATCATAGTCGCCGCAATCTTCACAATGCTTTCGTGGCTTTTCAATTGCACAGTGCACTAAGGTCCAAACGGTATGAGTTACCTCCCTTTATGCTACACTGATCTTCACTCTTACCACATAATAGGACTAATATAGGTAACGTCTGCCAGCTGCACTCCTTGGGTTGCATACGACCCTCCTTCTTTTCACCGGCAATGCAGTAGCTCCCCATTAGTAGGTGCACCTAATGGTTTCCAGGATTTAGACCCCTTCCTACTCGGCTTCAGTTACCATATAACCCTCGGTATGTTATATCTTCCATCTCCCACTCGACCACGGCCCTCCATAGGGACTGGACTTTACCAGATCCCCGGTCTACATTCAGAACGGTTACTCCATTAACTCCCTTCACTTTAGAATACCAAGCTTTCATTCCCATGTCGTGCTATGGTTGTTGGAATGGCACACCCTTACCTAGGGTTCACTTGGCCCATATTTATCCCGGGGCCTCGCAGGGATACCTGTTATACCAGCAAGCCAATGGAAGAGTTTTACTAACTCGATGTCCCTCGGATCCGTTCATTAACTTCAATACCTCACTTTCAAACAGTGTCTAAATGGGTGGTAGGCCTAACATTTCGATTTCTGATACAACACCCTTAGTCCCTAACAGAGGTGAAGCGGTGAAAGTCTCCATCCCAGTTGTATTAGCTCCCATCCCATATCGCCTAACCGGTCCACACACGTACCAGTAGGGTCAAGGGACTCGGACTCACCTTTGGCACGCGATGCCGCATTAAGAACTCGGCGTAGTTCGGATGAGTTTTGCCAGTTAAGAACATCCACACCGTTCCACTCAATTATAGCCCTAATCAGAAACATGATATGCCTTGGATTTTTAGACATCCCCCAGAAAGGATGAATGGTCGATTACAACCTCAGCATTTTATCTGTGGCCATCCAGTATTCCGTGCGTCAGTTTTCCCAATTGATCGAGTCCGGACATACGCAAAGAAGGCACCATGATTTAACACGATACGAGCCCTTTCCAACTTAGCACACCCCCTCCATAGTAAGCCTGCGAGTTCTTACCACTTCAAGGACAGGGTCATTGGAAGCCCACACGAGAAATCGAGGATCTCCTAACCATATACCAGGTAAGACCGACTGTTCTGGTTTTAACACCCTGATACCGTGTATACCTTCCGTTATACCTAGTTACTTTCATAGACCCCATGACTGTACTTGGATAGGAGTCGAAAGTGGTGGATTACTAATAAGAGATTCTTGTCCGTGAACTAACGAACTACCCTTTCGGGCGTCTGTCGACTATATCTTAAGAGACCATGAAATCATTCCCTTTTAAATAATCTCACGCTCCCCCACCAACGTCTAGTCTGTGAACTGCACCGTCGGGAACTCTAAGAGTCTCTCCCAGGCGGCTTGGCTGCCGATTATCCATTCTCCCTTTTAGGAGACTCTGTGTATCATTAGCATTTCGCGCCGCGAGCTCGTACCTACTGCTTGCCTAAGGCAGTACAAACTCCATGGACTGAAATCAGTATCCAGGCTGGATCCTACACTCTTGCCGCTTAGCTTCTATTGACTTACAGTCAAATAACTAATGACATCATCGCCAACACAGAGCATAACTAGCACAGAAGAACTAGCGCGAAAACTAGCTTCTGTGGCAGCTTAAATCTCATAAGGTTGTCACCATCCATAAGGCCATTACGCCCTACTGCTGCAAGGCTGTTTTCACACCCTCCGCGGTACTCATGAGCTTTAGGAACTTCCGGCAATTTGATGGTGTTGCACATATAGGGTGTATTACAGGGCTGACGTTCCGTATGCTTCCCATTAGGTTCTCAGGCCTAACTTACACACACCTACCTTTCCCCCGACTAACAATCGTTGTAATATTCCTACATGCACTAGCAAGAGGTTAGGTTTTACTAAAAGGTTCATAGCTGGTTGGCCCATCCCTCACCTCAGGAGTTACCCCCCGGGAAGCTCCCAGCAACTGATATGACCTTTAAAATGTATTATATCGGGAACGGTAGGTTTCCTGCAACAACTAGAGTCGAAACCTGACAACGCGGTCAGGTGGAAAAGCACACCGCTATACCTGTCTTCAATATAATACACAAACGATCCCCCCCACTTTTGTACTCCGTCTCTACCAGATCTTACAATGGCAGAAGGCAAAGAACGATGTTTTTTGTAGCATTACTATAGTGGCGGTGCGTACTCGATTTTTGCTGAATTGATATCTCGTAAACGCGTCCGTAGCTAATCAGGAGACTTTTTCACCGAATCTATTGATTACAAATTCGAGGTTCGCGTCTTATAGGGATAGCAGTTGAAAAGTGTGTTAATTGAATGGATGTTCATCGGTGATTAGTATGTATGCTGTAGGTCTCCAATTTGACGCTCGATTATCTGCTGCAATTATTTCTTCATTTGCCAGAGTTATTGATTAATTGCAGGTTTTAATTGAAATTTCGGTATGGAGTGTTTTATTTTCCGCCAAACGTCATGTTGCCACACATGGTGTCTTAGGCTAATTCTACTAATGTTTAGTCCCGATTGTTCGTATACGCTTTCTATTAACCTTGAGTAATAGTCGATTCTGTTTCACTGGAATTCTACGCTAACGCGTTATGGTAATAACTAATAAACCGTCGACGTTCTATCGTGTGATATTTGAAGACTTGTAGAAGTTTATGCGGTCATGCTTTGTTTGGAGAGTTGCCACATGATAGTTCATCGTTATTTAATTGTTTGAGGTGCTTCTTGGTTTTCAGCAATACGCATCTATGATCGATAATTACAAAAAAAGGGGAAAAAAATTAACTTCGAAGTTTTAAATTCTACATTTTATAGCAAAGTTTATTCTACCTTCAGTGCCACTTGTTTATGTAAAATACTCAAGTACATTCATAGCAGCTGTTCCAGTATGTCACATGTCGATTATTCCAAAATGCACTGATACGTGAAACATAGTAACTGTTTTTCTCGGAAACTCTTTATACTTGTCAGATAATATATCGGCATACTCTTTGTTGAGACAACACAAATTACGCTTGGTTTCTTTTGTCGGCTTTTTGTGAGTCCCCATCTCTAAATCTGCTCGGTCGCATCAACGGTGTTTTTTATGTGTTCCAGACATAATTGGCATCGCATCAATTGATTGTTACAGTGTTCGTCCATAGAACGCTATTTGCAGACTATTTTATCATCTTTTACCAGTAAGCTCATTTTCTCGTGTACTTTTATCTTTGATCCTCAAAGTCTACGTCCGGAAGTGTATTACATAGTGCAAGAAGTCAACCCTAGGTTAACAAAAAACTCTTGCGTAAAGTATAGTACCAGGTTCGGGTTCGTCATATACTCGTATCCGGTGCTCATCCTGATAACACTTTGACTAAAAGAGACTATTGGTGGTTCCGAGCCGATTCTAATCTTAAGCTCTGAATGTGTCTGACACAGTTACGCTGGTACCTTCTCTTCTCGATTGTCACTCTTGAAGTTCACAACTTCAAACTTCAAGAAAGAGGATCATAAATTCCCTGTATATGCTGATAGAGTTTATCTACAATGATGAGAGCCATCTCTTTCTCTTGTTGAGCCATGAATTCGTCATTGATTTTGTAATCGCGTAAGAAACCATGCGTAATATTATATTCCAACATATCAAAGTCCAGCATTGATATGGCAGCACATCGTTTTTCAAGCTTCTGCCAACCACTTTTATACAGCCTCCTGAAATGAACGCTGCATTGACATGTCGACATTCACCAAAACGTGTGTTTCTTCTCTTGTCTGTTTCCTGCTCCCCTCAAGTTGTTCAAGCAATCGTTCAGAGAGTCTCACGTCTTCATTCATTTGCTTCGCTAATATTATTAGGACAGGGACTATGAGTTGTTTAGAATAAACTAGTATTATGTGCTAGACTATAGGCAAGCGATTAGTTAAAAAAGACTTATCAAGGGGGTTAGATCACGTACATATACTGTAAGTGCGCTCTCTCTCGGAACTCAGTGTCCGGGCTGACTAATACTAACACTAACACTAATATTATTTGGGGGGGTCTTACGTGAGTAGTTTTACAAACATAGTACTAAATATAACTTGACTATAGGAAAAATGGTCTCCCTTTTGATCAACCAAATTTATACAATACCTTCCAAATTTCGCAATTTGTATAAATCAACCAACGCACCATTACTATTACTATATAAATATTCGTTAATAAACAAATTTATGGAATACGTAATCAATCGGTTTACACGATACATCTATGACAAAAGAAAACTGTAAATACAAAAAAAAACACTCAAAATAGCCAGTCGCTACCAGTTTTCTTGAAAGAGATAATTGAAAAGAGTTGGTTCGATACACTATTTCAAATATCTTTTTTACTTCTGCAACAAACTCTTTTCCATTTAGTTTTTGAATTTAATGCCAAAAAAATTATATGCCATCAATACCAACTAATTATCTTCATACTACAAAACCCCATTTCCCACCTGCCCGACAGCGGGCGGGCAGGCTACACCCGACCCTCTAGTTATCCTACAAAAATTATAGATAGTGTTTTTTTATACAGTTTTTTTTTACTGTTTGTTCCATTACCAGAATAAAAATGTTATCGCTTTGTTGACTTTGGCTCAAGCTCGACATTATGCTATTATTCATTACTATACCGTTGATTACATTTCGTAGTAATAATATCTCGTCATGAGCTCTTACCATGACAAGAATGATGAAGAGAAATATTAGACTGCACTTCTTTAGAAGGTTGGACGGATGGACGTAGTACAAGATTAAACGGGTAATGTAACACAAACGTTGAGGATTAACGTTAACATTACAGCATTTTGTTGAAAAGAATTTTCTAATTCAACCTGTTACTACAGTATGTCGTTTGCATCAGAGACTCCAGCCATTGGAAACTTGATCCGATCCTGTTACGTGGATGAGTGCAATAAACTTGACTGGATACCTTGCGAACAAATCACCAACGTAAAGCCGACTCAAACTGACAACGTCTACTTCGCTATTCACAAGGACCCACGTTTTGATTATAGAATGATGCTGGTATTACTTGGAAGTAGCGAAGAATGCACACCGACACTTGTGAGTGAGTTTGCTAGAATATACTCACTTCCAACACACAAGTACAATAACAATGATAATAACTTTAGACGATACTCCGTATGGCTTAAGCGTCGCAACAAACGCATTATTGGATTCACCAAGTCTAATGACGATAACTATTACATGGTTGCTGATGAATGCTTCTACCGTTGTTATTCTCGATATGGCTTCTGCTCCACATGTGGAATACTCCGATGTAGTCCCGTGTGGTGCATTTGTGG